ATGGACCAAGAGAGCCCCCGGCGTCCCCAGAAGGACCCCGGATATCTCCAAGACGGTCCCCCCAAGCGCCCGGGAGCGTCCCAAGGGCGCCCCAAGAGGGCCTGGATGGCTTGCGGGGCTCGAGGGGTTGTGGGGGCAGGCTAATTAAAACACCTCCCTCTGGCTGATCGATGTCATTCAAAATGGCCCCAAACGTGCCTCCAAAGTCCCGAAGAGGATACTGATTTTCGCCCGTGACTTGACGGGTGCCGCTTTCTCTCTGTTGTTGAGGGCCATGAACCAAAGCAACTGAGGGCACCGCACAACGCGATCAGACTCGGGAGCAAAACAAACGAAAACAAGGCCAGCCACACAACGCCATCGAAATCATCTTGACAAGCAAGCGCTTTCGCTATGTACATTGAAGACGCGCTCGAACCGGACACAGCAAACCGAACCTCTGGCTGTCTGACACCAGGGATGGGTCAGCCGACGGAGGTTTATTGCCAGCCCTGTGCTAACAACAACGCGCTCAGCTTGCCAAGCACCGTCTACGGATGTTGAAACAACAAAATCTATATTCGGCCCCCTCCAAAGCAGAAAAAAAACAATGGAAGCGAGAATTTACTGTGCGACGGCATGACTCTTTCGCCCACAAGTGTCCTAGCCAGTTCGCATATGTTAAAATGAATTGCATAAAATACAGATGCGTGTGCACGTCGACGCCGTACCAAAGTTGCGATTTGAGCCGCGTGTCCCAAAAAGCGATTGGGACCTTTTGGTAATACCACCCAAAAGTCGCCCCTGCCATTACCCAGGCACGAGGGCCCAATAGACAGGGGCGGACGCAGCCCCCGATTTGAAGCCAAACTATGACACAACCTCTGGCGCCACCTACTGAATCAGGCAAAACGGACACAGAAACTAACCCGCCTACGCCGATATACGCCAAAAACCAAGTCGATGTCCCTGGCGCTACGCATGGCGCTACCTAGACAACGGCCCAATCATCACTCTGTGTGCGTGTAACCTACGACACAGACTGGATAACGTGACCACACGGTGCCTCGAGATTCCGCCCGCGCCCAACCCACGACGCAATAGGTTTATAGTGTATGACTCAGCCCATGATGCAGCCTGGCCTCACGGACCAGACCACAATTCTGCGCGCGAACAGCCATGTGGCGCGTGGCGCAACCGTGCCCCGAGTCACGGAGTGGCATGTCCTCGGGACCCTGAGAGTCATCTATTTTGGGTATCGTGGATTGTCTCCAAATTCTGGGCGATCCTGGACTGCACCACATGGCGTTTCCAGAAGCCGCATATCATGAATTAGATGGACGCTGTTCAATGTGTTTCGACCCCAGCGGGGATCCCGACCGGGGGCCATGAGTCTTTTCGAGCAAAGACTGCCCCCCGAAACAGCCAAGAGGCCCTCAACAGGCCCCGAAAGGCTTCAAAGATGCCCCCGAATGCCTCGAACGGGCTCCATGAGCTATGAGGCCTCCAAGTAGCCTCCAAGAAGCCTCCACGAAGCCTCCGAGGGGGGCCTGGGAGGCCACCCAAGAGCTATCCGAGAGGGCTCGACCCAGACACGATTCACAAGACATGCATGGCGCAATCGATGGAACAACCAAGACACGGCACGCCAAACTCTGCCTCCGCGTGCACATACCCTGTGCTGCAACACATGGCACAACCCACAGAGTGCAATTCCGCGTGAGCGCCACCTGTGACGCCACCCGGTGCAGTGGGGGGCGCGGCCGATGGAACGTCCACGGTGTACTCGATGGAACGTCCCCGTCCACGGGGCGCAACCAATGGCAAAATCTCGGGATGGCGGCCCAAACATGGACGCGTCGGGGGACGAAGCGGTGATCAGACGTGGGCGCGGCCGCAGAGAACCCTCGCAGGAGACCCGACCCTGAGGACCCGCGCGGGAGGTGCGGCTCCGGGGGGGGGGCCCAGGGCACCCGGAGAGGCAGCAGCCTCCTCCAGCGGCCGCGGGAGGTCACCGCGCAGTGCGAGGAGCGAAGACACCCAAAGTTCGGCACGCGCGAAGGTTTTTGACACCGCGTCGATTGTTCAGCGTTGAATCGATCGCGGCGCCGATCGTTCCAAGTTGAATTCCGTCGGGTCCAGTGGCGTCACCGTGTCCATCGATGCTTCAGCGTCGCAAGAATTCAACATGGAACGTCTTCGCCAGCGGCGCTTGCGCACCATCGCCGCATGAACCGACCGTGCCCTGACAAGAAGCCAATGACTTTAGGTCGGGCATGTCCCCCTACAGGCGGATTTGGGGCGAACAAATTTCAAATGTTCCAGATCTATTCGAAAATAGCCAAAAAGATTCAAAACATCGTCCCCAAACTATTTTTTGACTACTTCTGAATCTTCCTCCTGTAACAGGACACGCCCGACTCAAGGATGGCTTCCTGATGCGCGCCCCCACTGCAGGAGGGGCCGAGCCGTGCCGCGGCCGTGCGCCGTGCCTCACGCCGTGCGCCTTGTCTGCAGTGTGCCGTGCTGCGCCACGAGCCGACCCGTGAGCCGTGCGCCGCTTCCCTGCGCCCCCGCACGCGTGCTTTGGACGCCCGAAATGGGTACTCCAGATTTCGTAATAAAAGGGAGGGGGGTCTCATTTCGGGGGGGGTCTCTTCCAGGCTATCTTGGAGGGCCTGGGGGGTCTGGGGACGATGTTTTGGAGGGTTCTCCCACGGGGGAGGTCTGAAATGGCTTGTCTTGGAGGGTCCAGACCCCCTCCCTTTTATTACGAAATCTGGAGTACGGGAAGAATGGGCACAATGCCCAACAACAAATGTTGTCCCAAACCAACAGCGGCCGCCGTTGGCCAGGCGGCCTCCTGTCTCGAAAAAACGAACAGGAACTGCTGTTGGGCATTGTACCCATTACCCATCATTTCCGTACCCCTTTCGTTCGTGCCGATGCACGGCAGGCCCGCGTCGTGTCGACCGGCGGCGACCCCGCCGCGAGCGTTCCAAGCTGAACGCCGCCGGTGGCCCGGAAGCGGCCCGCATGGAACGATCGGGCGATCGGCAAGCCGCCGGTCGTGCCGCCGCCGGGGTCGGCTCCGCACGGCTCCCCGGCCCAGGTCCTCCTCCTCCTCCTCCTCCTCCTCCTCCTCCTCCTCCTCCTCCTCCTCCTCCTCCTCCTCCTCCCCCTCCTCCTTCTCGTCCTCCCCCTCCTCCTCCTCCTCCTCCTCCTCCTCCTCCGCCGGTTCAGCGATCGGCGCGGCGTCGGAAACCAACGCCAGGGTCGTCACGACGCGGACCTGCCGTGCTGCCCGGGGTCTCGGCGCGCCGCGTCGTGTCCTCGCACGTTCAGGTTCGGGGCGCCGCCCCCCCGGGTCTGCTGCGGGTCGCGATCCGAGGGGCTGCCGCAGGCTGCGCCACAGAGCACAGCAGGAGGTCGGCCACGAGCAACCTTCCAGGAGAAACCCAACCCTGAGACCCCAGGACGTCCACTGGTTCTTGGCGTGGGAGCGTCACGCTCTCCACTAGCAGAAGCATCGAAACCCACGAAACCCGGGGCACCCTGGAGGCAGGCAGGGTGTTTCTTGACATGGGTTGCCACTGTACGCCGTGGATGTTCTGTCGGCCGCGCCCCAGGTTGCGCCGTGGGTGGCGCCACAGGTGTCGCGCACGCAGAAGTACTGGCTCCAGTGGGAGCTCACGGACCCTCTTCCCCAACGGCTCAGCTCTCCTCCCTCGGTCTTGCTTCCATGCGCCTCGGAGCATGCTGCTCGGCAAATGGCTTCCAGCGTGTGCATTCGCCGATGCGGAGCTGGCAGGAGCAACGGGAAACTACGTGTGTTTCCTGGGAGGGTCCCGGCGACGCTTCCGAGGGTGGGAACTGATTTGCCCGCCCGCAAAGGGGTTCTTTGCCAAGCTTCCTGCCTTTAGGTCGGACGTGTCCCCCTACAGGTCGATTTTGGGCGAATCATGAAACTATTCAAACAATACACGCAAAATGCCCCAAAATAGTCAAAACATCGTCCCCAGACTATTTTTTGATTATGTTTGTCTATTCCTCCTGTAGAGGGACACGCCCGACTTCATGCCACCTGCACTGGCGGCCCCGTGCCGAGGCGCCCCACGGCCGCTTGGACGGCAGCCGCACGCGGCCAGGGCAAGAGGACTGCCAACGATTGCCCTGGCAGCCCCGGGGCGGGAGCCCGCCTGGTCTCCTGGCAAGGGCTTCCCCTCCCCACCGAGCAACTCCCCCGGGCAAGGCTCGTGCCCACATCTCCCGCAGCTTGAAGTTGCGGGCCCCCTTCCCCCGCAAGAAAACACAGGGCGCACCGGAGATGGATAGAAACATTCGGCCCCAGAGAGGCTCGGTTTTCATGCGCGTCCAGGGCGCCTGGGCCTCGTGGCGCCCCTTCCAAGAGAATACGAGATGCACTGGATGTGGATACACATCTTGCCCGCACTAAGCTTAAGTCGGGCCTGTCCCCCTACAGGGGGATTTTGGGCGAAAAAAACAAAAATTCGCAAAACATAGCCTACAATAGCAAAACACGTTCAACAAATCGTCCCCCAGGCAATTGTTTTGACTGTTTTTGCATCTTCCCCCTGCAGAGGGACAGACCCGACTCAACACTAAGCCTGCGTGGCGCCAGCCGTGCAGAACCACCCGTGCCCCAGAACGTCCCGACTCGGCCCTCCCTTCGGGCGCCCCGTTGGCACCCCACGGCCCTCCAGTAGAAGGTCCCAGCCAGGACTTCAAGGCCGCTTCGTCCTAGCCCCCTCCCCCCATTCTCCCTCCTCCCTCCCTTGCACGGTTCCCCCCCGGGGCCGTAGGCGACCCGAGGAGGGGGGGGAGCAGGAGGAGGTGGAGGTGGAGGGGGAGGGGGAGGAGGAGATGAAAAAGGGGGAGGAGGGAGAAGGGAGGTGAAGGAGGGGGAGGAGGGAGAAGGGAGGTGAAGGAGAAGGAGGAGTTGGTTGACCGGTCGCCTAAGCCCTTCGGAGAGACCCTCCACCCTGCCTTCTCGCGAGCTCCTGGCAGTCGCCGCATCTCCCGGTGCCGCCGGTCGAAGACCAGCTCGCCGTGGCCCTGGGAGGGGGAGCAGGAGGAGAGCTCGGAGCTCGCGGTGGAGAGAGATCTTCTCCGTCATCCCCCGAGATCCGACGCCATCGTGAAAGACTCGACAGGACTTGTTGTTCCCATCGTGCTTAAGGACCACATCCCAGAAATAATGTCGAGCGCCCAGAAAAGTGTCGACGCAGTGTCGAACGAGTATCGCCTCCCGGGGCCCAACACAAGAGAAAACTCAAACTTCGGTACTTTCGTGGTGCTCGAAATTCTGCCTGGTGATCAAGGCTAAAATATGTTGGAACATCATAAGACAGGACCCCTGTACAATATCTTCCTGCGCCGTGTTCAAAACACATTCTAGTTTTGGATGTCGCTGGGCCGGAACCAGGCAAAAACGCCGAGCTCAAAAAAACTAAAAATGCCAGGATATCCCTCCATCCTTCTCGTTATTCATCATCATCCTTCCTCCTCCCTCCCCAGCAAAGCAGGAGGCAGCAGCGTGGGAGGGCGAGGAGGACGACGACGAAGTCCCTCCGTACAGCTCCCTCCGTCCTCTTCATTTCATCATCGGCATCAGCATCAGCATCAGCATCAGCATCAGCATCATCATCATCACCATCACCATCACCATCACCATCACCATCACCATCACCATCACCATCACCATCACCATCACCATCACCATCACCATCACCATCACCATCACCATCCCCATCACCATCACCATCACCATCACCATCACCATCACCATCATCATCATCATCATCCTCCTCCTCCTCCTCCTCCTCATCATCATCATCACCACCACCATCATCATCATCATCATCATCATCATCATCAGCATCAGCATCAGCATCAGCATCAGCATCATCATCATCAGCATCATCATCATCATCATCATCGTCATCGTCATCGTCATCGTCATCATCATCATCATCATCATCATCATAATCATCAGCATCATCATCAGCGTCAGCATCAGCATCAGCATCATCATCATCATCATCATCAGCATCATCATCATCATCATCACCACCACCATCATCATCATCATCATCATTCTCATCATCCTCATCCTCATCCTCATCATCATCATCATCATCATTTCTCCTCCAGAGCAGGAGGCAGGAGAGTGGGAGAGCAAGGAAGACGTTGACAGGGTCCCTCCCTCCGTCCCCCTCGTCATGCATCATCCTCCTTCGATCCACCTCCCCAGCAGAGCAGGAACCAGGAGCGCGGGAGGGCGAGGAGGAGGAGGAGGACGACGACGACGGCGACGAAGATGAGCAGAAGCAGCAGCAGCAGCAACGCGAGGCCAATAGGAGCATGAACAGGAAGAGGCGGACGAGGCAGGTCCTCGGACTGGTCATACCTCCGCCTCCTCCTCCCCCAACGGCAGCTTGCAGAGTTACTCTAGCCTTCAAAAGCACCACATATCTTGCCACGTGCCATGGCCTTTTGCCTTTCAATGTTGCGCTCGCCGCAAATGTGTGCTGTTGCTCATGCTGCCTAAGACGACAAAATGCTACTGCGTGGTACGCTCCAGCATGTCAGCTCAAGTTCGTCCAACGTGAACAAAGACGAGGCAGGAAATGTAGCGAGCTGCATGTCGAAGGCTGCGCGCAATAATTGGAGGATGAAGGGAAAGAGGCCATGGAGGTGAGAAGAGGAAGGATTCATACAAAAAGCAAGGAGGCAGAAAAGAGGAGCAGGATCATGGGGGCGAACTGGGTACCAATTCTGCGCCGTCGTCCACGGTGAAAGACAGATGGTTGCTCCCGACAATATGCGGAGCAGACACAATGAGGGCGGAGGAGGGTCAACAGCTGCGGCAGCAGCCTCAATCATTTCGGATGTCGCTCGCCCCCTTCCCGTTCCTCCCGTCTCCACTAAGGGCTCCCAACTTGATCTTCATTAACATGGTCACGAATCCCATTCCGAAGGCCGTAACATGCTAATGGTCCCCAGCGCGAAGGTCAAGGTCTCACACGGATGTCTTTCGATATGCGCTCCCATGAGCACGATCCCCTGTACACTGCATCAGCTCCTCGCTTCCAATGCATCCATTCATGTAGATTGGGTACCTCCAAAAAGGCCCCGACCCAACGCTAGACGCCAAGGATCCTGTGTCACGGCTGCGGTATTCCAAGGTTGCTCGCGCTTCCAACGGCTAAAAGGTTGCTACATACTCCGAGGCTCCCCGGTTCCCCCCCATTCTCTCCAGATTCCTTTCAAAAACTCGCAAGGAAAGTACGGGGCGCGCAATGTGGCCCAAAGGCTCCCAACGGCCCATTCGGGGTTCGCAGGAGCCCCCAAGGAACGCCCCGACGCACTCCCCCAAACAACTCCTGAGGGCGCCTAAGATCTCCCACTAACACGGAAAACCCCCACATGACCTCAAAAATGTTCAAACAAGCCCAAGGCCTTGGGCACTCCCCCAACATCTGCCGATTTCCCAAGAACCTCGGTATCCAGAAAACCCAATCCCGTTGCTCCGGGAAGCACAGCAATGCATCGCTCTCTACTGCCACTCTTTAATAGATGCTGAGGTTTGTGCCCAAAGCAGAGGCACGAACACCTAACATGCACACCTCCCGTGGCTTTTAGCCACAACAAATTTGGTGTGCACGCTTTGCCGTGACTTGTATAAGCATGTGGCTTGAATTCCCTCAGATATTTGTTCACACAACCTTCGGACATTACCGCTGACCCCTCCAGTCACTGCCACGTTCAATTTCGAACTAGCTCCAAATGGCCTCTAGGGCCTCCAAGACGACCCAAGTCGATCCAAGATTACTGCTCCGAGGGCCCACATTGCGCCAAGTGCCCCCCCCAAGCTTAGATGGCCTAACAGGAGCAGTGTTGGCGCAGGCTTGCACAACTGTGCCGTGCACATTCCCCCTAGATGAGGAGGCAACTACTGGGAGGTCTTCGTCGGAAGGACTAGGGAGGATTAAGCCCCTTTGGGGGGCTGGTACGCAAGAGTGGGCCTCGGATTAAGCGGGATTCAGCCGGATTAAACGGGATCAAGCGGGATTAAGCCGGATTAAGTGGGATTAAGCGGGATGAAGCCGGACTTCGGAGTAGGGCAAAATCAGAGTTTGACCTCCCAGGAGTTGCATCCGAACCATCCAAGATGATCCAAGGAAGGCTCCGAGATGGCCCTGGAGACACCGAAAGAGGCCCCTGGGTAGGCAGAGTCCGTTCTGACCAGTCTTGCGGCGTTGAACTGCTGCTCGGATTGTCTCCGCTGCGGAGTCCCAGGAGCCTGCCAAACCTTGATCCTAGGTCTAAGTCGGGCCTGTCCCCCTACAAGGGGATTCCGGGCAAAAAATTAATGATACTCCAAAAATACTCCCAACATGTCAGAAAATACTAGGAAAATGGTCCCCTGACATTTTTTTATTGAATACTCCTCCGTTAGAGGGACGTGCCCGACTTAATCCTAGGTGGCCCACTCATATCTTCAGACGGGCAAAAGAAGACCTGCAGTGGTCTCCGCACGAGCACGGCACTACGCTCGCACAAACACGAAATCAATCCCGCACGAACGGAACACGAGGCACGGCTTGCAGCGGAAACTCACTCCAGCACGGCATGCTGCGCGAAATGGCTCGCACCAAACTGTTGCGCGAGGGTCTCCAGCGGTTTCTGGTTCTTGGGGGCGCTCGCGGGCGCAGCTGGGCGCTCGCAAACGAGTCCATGGAACAAATGCTGCTGCATTTCACGCAGCCGTTCTAGGCAGCAGCTCTGGGGCCATCTCGTGCGGGCAACTTCGTGCGAGCAATCTCGCGCGAACAATTTCGCGCGGGCTACGTCGCGCCCTTGCGTCGTTCTCCCAGCCGCCCGTGCACTGTTTGCCGCGGCGACGATGCTCATTGGGCACGGCGCCGTTATTTCTGATGGTCGCAGCGCCGACGGTTCGTGTCCATGTGAAAGTGATTAGAAAAAAAAATCTATTCAACGCCTGCACCCTTTCGCGGGCTGCCAAGGCTGCTTCTGTGAATAATGGCCCATTGGCCGAAACGTCATTCAAACCTGTTCTTGCCTACTCATGTTATCAGTCGCCATTTGGGTTCAAGCATGGCTTCACCTTGCGAGCATCGTCCCGCCGTGGATACGGCCGATCTAGAATGCAGCGGATCCGCGCGACCCGAAGCAAGCCCTTCGGGGCTACACGAAGGTGGAGAATTATCAATCTACGAACAATACGGTCCCGTCCTCGACCGGGCAAAAGAAAAATAACAACGGGTCAATCGGAGGAGTCGGGGGGCGTAGGGAAGGGATCGCGGAAGGAGAAAGGGGAGAGGAGGAGAAGGAGAAGAAAGAGAAGGAAGAGGAGACAAACAGCATCACATTAACCGATTACCGATGATCGCATCTGATCTCGACATCAACAAGCCCTAAGGGGTCGGCGGTGTGGCGTAAGCCAATGAAATACTATCATAACAAGAACGTCTCGCCCTCGTCCGCTCGTTCACATCAATACCTTGTTCCTCCTCTGCTAAACACCGTACAGCAGAGCAGGCTCGGATGAGCAGATTGCCTCGCGGCGCAGATGTGCGAACTGGCGGCACTCGCTGACCGACTTGATAATGCAAGAGGCCACGTCGCCAGCCTGGGGCCAGCCAAGATGAACATAAGGGCGAGCGAAAGATCTCAGATGCCCAAGCTGCGTTGCCCGTCCGTTCCACCTCCGGCATCCGAGCGCTGCTCGTGAGCAGCCCGAATCGAATCTGACATGACCTGGGTTCGGCGGTGCTCGTGAGGACGACTGCGAAGACAGAGCACAACTCAATGAGTTGGCACGGACAGGCATCAGACTGTAGGTGCGAGCGCTCCCCGTCGCTCGGACGTCCATTCGCAGGATGATCCAGGATGCTCCTCAGCAGTCCCCGCCGAGAAAAAAGTGCACACGTCCGAGCGATACCAAGAGCTACTATTTCGAACCAGTTGGGGAGCCGTGTCATGCCTATGCTCCTGCGCTACGAGCGCAGACAGTACCAGCGTCGATATGGCAATCGAGATTCTGAAGGTACTGCTGCTACAGAGCCCATGCTCGCCATCGCTCGGACGTCCATTCCCTGTATGTTTTTCGGTCTCGCGCGTGTTTTTTCGCCAAATTATCAAGGATGCTCCTCGATAGTCCTCGCCGAAAGAAAAGTGCACACGTCCGAGCGATGCCAAGTGGTGGGGACATGACTCACATGTCGCAGACCGAACCTCGGCTGTAGGCATAGCTGCTACTCAGAGGGTGCCGGCCTACCCGGTCACGCCTCAAGCAAGGAATCTGAATGCAACAATGCGTCTACATTCGAAGCACTTCCACGGTTTGCAGCGCCAGGTCCGCACACAGAATTGTAGACCGCAGCCCTGCAACATGACTCGTAAACTGTATGCCCACATTCCGATCGCACGCGCGCAGCGTGGCGAAAGCTCGATGCCGCTTGCTCGTCAGCCTCGTCGAAAGATTATTGGAACCACAGCCTGTCGAAGGGCCGTACAAGCCCGCTGGCCCCTCCAGAGGCTTACTGCGCGCGGCCGCGCCTGCAGGTCCGCGAAGTCCTGCAGGTCCGCCCGGTCCACCACGGCGCCCGTGAGGGGGCTGCAATTCACCTGTGGCTCCTGCTCCTTCGCCGTCCTCCGCACTCCCCGTCCTCCTCTTGGACCCAAGCAGATGTCGGGAGGCTGATGCCACTCATCCTCCTCCTAACTCCTCCTTGTCCTCTTCCTGGTTCTCCTGCTCAAGCTCGGCAGAGCCCATGAACGATGGGGGTGCAGGATTGAAAGCAGGGCTAGAACCTGACCATGCTCTGAAGCACGTGTTAAAGCACCACCGGGAGAGCATGGGCTCGAAACGAATCATGGACTGAGGGTGTGGCCCGATCGAGTTTTAGGACAACGGAGCGCTGGCCGAAATCATTCGGTACCTCTTGCTCCCCTCCTGGCTAGAGGTTGGCGGGGCCCCGCGGGGCCTGACGTCAGATCTACGGGACATACGCTCTCCCCCCTCCCCCCGACCTACAGCCCTGGACACCCTTCCTCCTGCTGCAGTGCCGCGAAACGGGACGCCGTCAATCCTCCCTCGCCTCACCTTGAAGTAGGCAGCGTCTGCTCGACGAGTCGCCAACATGCCCTTGATGGGAGCACCTGGGCGTAGCCACGAGATGTCCTCCAAAGGATGGAAGCTGGCAGATCTGGCAGGACAGAACAAAGCGACGACACTCTGGAGGCGCAGGATGACAAAGCAGGAACGGCAGCCAGGAATACGAAAAGAAGAGCGGGCAAGACAACGAGAGAGGATAACGGGAGGCACGGAGCAGCACAGAACGGAGAACGAGAGCGGCCAAGACGAGGAGAGGAAGGGTGGGGGAAAATGAAAAGGAGGAGCATGCTCAAACATCATGGTATGGTCAGATAACAATCACGGAAGCTTTTGGTCGTCCCCATGACGCCCAATAGCGCGCCCAATCGCGCGCAATGCGGACATACTTCATCTTTCACACATGGCGCTATTGGGCGCTGTTGTGCGCCATTTGAACGCTAGATGGGCATTATTCGGCGCTACTGAGCGCTGTTTGGCGCTACTGAGCGCTATTCGCCGACATACCTTCATTCCACGACGAGCGAAAGCTTCCGCGGATTACGATGTAAGTTTGGTGAAGGTAGATCCTCATTAGGCAATTCCGCCAAGTTCAAGCGGGCGTAGTCCGTGTAGCGCATGCTTCGGCGGAGCACGAGGTCACCATCCGGGTCTCCCAGCTCCCGGCCTCGGCTGCATCGAGCCGGTGGGCCCGCGCAGGGTGCGCCGAGCTGGTGGCGACGGCCCATTATACAGTAGCCCTCCAACGGTGAGCGCCGTTCCTATCACACCGTCGGAGCTCGCCAATTAGCATGGGAAAGCAGCAATCGCTGCCCTTTAAAAGGGCGGCTGCCGTTCGGCAAGGCGTCTGGGATCTGGCTTGACGGTAAATGAGAATTGAATGCGCTACAGCCCAATCTCCAGTCGCAACACAAACACTTCCGGGATCTGGGGGGGGTGGACTCGGCAGAGCCATGTAGCGCAGATTGCCAGAGCGATGTGAGGTCATCAGTGCTGGAAGTGAGAACCTGGGCATCGCGCCAGGGAACACACCAATGCTGTTGGGAAAAAATTGTAGCGAGCGTTGGGCACTCCGCGAATTTCAAGTCCACGAACTTTGCAACTCGCATGGGCACCTCCTGATGTATGGCTCTGCCGTGCGAGTTCCGAATCCCGCTCATTACGCACCAGCTCCCAGCTCTCCCTGCATCGCATCAGCTCCCAACGAAATCGCGCAGACTCAACATGTTGCGCAACCATAGGTGCTTAACCATCACCACATCGGCAACTGGAAAGCCTCGACGGTCGGACATAGCATGGCTTAGCACGAGATTCGCCACAGAGAATCATCATCGTCGCCTCGCGACCATAAGCCATCATG